AATTAATATTATTAACATAGAGACTTATTCTGTTAATATTGACAAAAAAAAAGTCTTTACTACCAAATTCGAGAAAACAATTTAATATCATGTTAGGTACCGTCGGGTTGCGGTTTCATTTCTTTTAATAAGGCTGAGAGGATTCAAATGAGTATTCAAATAAGATGTTCATAATTTTCTTTCTTTTCTTTTTTTTTTCCCTTCCCTAATGTGGATCAAACTCTGGTCAAGTGCGAGCCTACCTGTTGAATGTGTGGCAGTGGCCATTGTTAGTGAGCAGAGGACCAAGGAACTGAAAGAGGAACACTGTTCCACTTGGCAACAGCTTAATAAGATCTCCAACCCCTTTGAACACCTTATCTCCCATAGTTTCTGATTTGTCGCCCTTCATCGATTTTCTCATTGATGGTATTTGATGCCTCTGATCTCAATCCCCTGTGAACTTCGGTGCACAAACAGAAGAGTTTCTAGTCTCTTTATATAGGGAGTTTTTTGGTTCCTTGCAAGTTTGAATTTAGTGTGGCTTTGCTTAGACTCACAGGCTTGTGTGGGTCTTGTTTTGGCTTGCAATTTTTCAAAGGAGATGAGTCCTTGTTCGGACTTCAGGATTTTGTTTGTTGCGTTCCTTTAAAGGAGTCATGCAAGAGAGCAAGTAGCAGATTATGTGAAGCAATAAAAAGGGTTAATTAGCTAGAATCTGATTTGGGTACCTTTTAGGCCATCTAGTGGATGATTAATAGTGGAAATAAGATGGTTAAAGGAACCTCACCTCATATGCTCATCGCGTGCGCTGACTAACGAAATTTTAATGATCTGAAAATGTTACTTAAAAAAATTTATTATATTAGATGTCTGTTATGTAACACTTATGTTAAATTGGAGGCGTTATTTGTAGCCACTACAAGAAAATGCATCTTCGGCAACGACAAAAAGTCATTGCAATAAAGGAAAAGTCCATTAGCTACTTATTTTACGCAACAACTTCTCCTGTTGTTGCTAAATCTTGTTCCCAAACCTCCTACTGTGGGGATTGAGGCTTCTGGATCTTAATTTAACAGGCTAATTGCGGATACAACCCCTTTATCCGCTTGTAATTGTATATCAGCTGTAATTGAATATCGACTGAAGTTTGAATATGGACTGCTCTCATATCATCTTCTCATAATTTATACTCTTAACGACTAGTGCACGGAGGAATTTATTTTTGGTTGCACGCATGAATGAAGAATATGCCTCCATTATGTCTTACATCAAAATTGATCAAAGGAAAAAAATGCACTCTTAGGAACAACATAACACAAACCTTGATTATTTTCAGAACATATGGCCAAATTCTGTGTGTATCACAAATCAGTGGAGAAGGCTCTCTATATGCAAATGAACCTGCATTTCTATTGAAACACAATTCTTTTATCACACACATATCACCAACGTACATCTGTACAATTTTGTTTATACATGATAAGTTGCAGTTCAACATTACAAAACCAAAGTACCTCATACTGGAATTACAGAAAATACATTCCCAGGTTTTAGTATACAATCTTCCTCAAGAGAATTTGGGCACCGTGTTGAGGCTGTAAAGTGACGAGCAACATAGGAGCATGAACATAAGAGGGTGATATCGTAAATTCAAACCGCTGAAGAATCATGGCAAGAGCAACTTTAGCTTCAGTCATCGCCAGATTCTGACCAATACAAATTGTGGGCCCAATTCCAAAAGGGTAAAAGGCTCCGAGATGGTGCCCTTTGTTTGCAGAGAAGCGTTCTGGATTGAATTCATTAGCATCATTTCCCCAAACTTGTGTATCGTGATGAACAGCGATCGTTGGCATGTAGATGATTGTGCCTGAAGGGATATCAAGCCCTGAGAGCTTGATATTTCTGGTTGTGAGCCTGTTGATCATCACGGCAGGAGAATACAGTCGCAAGGTTTCCTTTAGGATCATTGTTATCTGTTTACACAAATACATTATGAATTCAGAAAGTTATTAGCTGGAAGTCTAAGAATAAAGTCTGAATTTGGAAAATTCAAAGTATTCCACGTTGGGAAGAATTAAAATTGAGTGATGAACTTGAATAAAATATTGGGGTAAATATTTAACAACTCAACCTTTG